AATATACAAATATGTATCCTGCAAGTTTTATCTAAAATATTTTTCAATCAATATTTTATTGTCAAGACATTTGACTATTACCGGACTTTTGGGACACACTACAAATAGATAAGGTGGGACATTTAAATTATTATCTAAAATAACGTAATAAAAATCAGTTTTACAGAAAAAACATTTAGACAGAAGTTAAATGATTTTGATAAGACTGTATTCTTGTCATCTGATTTGTTCTACGTGAAGGCATCAAAGTCACATAAAGATCAACTTCATTTTCTTAGTGGAATCATAATTTTGTCAATACAAATAGATTCTCCTGTTCATTCTACGTATAAAAGTACTAAAGAGTAAATAAATAGAATCATTGAAAAGTAAATACTTTTCGAGATATTTCATTCTTTATTCTGATATTTTCAGCACACAATATAAGGTATTTCATAAAGTATTCACTTTTCAATAAAATCACCTAAACACATTTGTTCATAGAATGACAAATGAAATTGACCGCTGTAAGCAAACATATAAAAACATTTGTAAAAATTCACCATATTTTTACAAACGTTTACAAACATTTTTACAAACATTTTATCAAAGCACTATTGTGCAATGANATATATATATATATGTCATATGTACTCATATAATATAAAACTAATGCCGGTGGTAAGTTATCTTTGAAATCTCATAACTCGCATAAATTTTAACGGAAATGAATATTAGATCAGTGTTTTGGAAAGCTCTGAACATCAGCTATCAGGATCTGAATAAAAAAGTAGAAAATGCAATTTAAAAAAATCGATGTGACCTCGACCTGATATTAATANAATATACAAATATGTATCCTGCAAGTTTTATCTAAAATATTTTTCAATCAATATTTTATTGTCAAGACATTTGACTATTACCGGACTTTTGGGACACACTACAAATAGATAAGGTGGGACATTTAAATTATTATCTAAAATAACGTAATAAAAATCAGTTTTACAGAAAAAACATTTAGACAGAAGTTAAATGATTTTGATAAGACTGTATTCTTGTCATCTGATTTGTTCTACGTGAAGGCATCAAAGTCACATAAAGATCAACTTCATTTTCTTAGTGGAATCATAATTTTGTCAATACAAATAGATTCTCCTGTTCATTCTACGTATAAAAGTACTAAAGAGTAAATAAATAGAATCATTGAAAAGTAAATACTTTTCGAGATATTTCATTCTTTATTCTGATATTTTCAGCACACAATATAAGGTATTTCATAAAGTATTCACTTTTCAATAAAATCACCTAAACACATTTGTTCATAGAATGACAAATGAAATTGACCGCTGTAAGCAAACATATAAAAACATTTGTAAAAATTCACCATATTTTTACAAACGTTTACAAACATTTTTACAAACATTTTATCAAAGCACTATTGTGCAATGATTAATATCAATAATTGATTTCTCTTATATTATTATATTATTATGTAGAAAAGTGTTAAGGTGATATTATTGAAAAGTAAATATTTTACGTGGTATTATATTTTACATGATATTTCATGTTTTATGCTCAAAAATATCAGAATTCAAAATAAAGTATCTCAAGAAGTGTTCAGTTTTTTATGATCTTAATCTAGTACTTTAATACGCAGAATGAACAAAAGAATCGATTTGTGTTAACGAAATTATATAATTCCATTAAAAAAAATGAAACAGATCTTCATATGACTGGCACTTCCACATACGACGGTCGTCCCAGAAGTACCCGATCCAACAAAGAAAACACAAAAATTTTGGAAAAAAATGTATTTATTTTTCAACATAATCTCCTTTCAGCTCTATACACTTTTCCCAGCGATGTCCAATAAGTTCGATACCCTTTTTATAATAAGAACTGTTTTGCTCCTCAAAATAGCCATTAACTGCCGACATCACTTCTTCATCGTTGCAAAATCTTTGACCACTGAGCCATTTTTTCAAGTTTGGGAACAGAAAATAATCCGAGGGGGCGTTTGTTGCTGTGAAACTTCGCTAAACACTCAATTGAAACATCTTCACGACACTGTTTTTGCTCGAGTGTGAGCAAACGCGGCATCCATCTTGCACACAGCTTTCTCATGTCCAAATTTTCAGATAATATATGATGTACCGCACTTTTTGAAATGCCTACTATGTCTGCTAGCTCGCGCACTTTCAGTCGACGATCATACATTACCGCTTTATGGATTTTCTTCACCATTTCTGGAGTCGTCACCTCATTTGGTCGACCACTGCGATGCTCGTCTTGGCAGCTCGTACGGCCTCGTTTAAACTCTGCTACCCAATATTTTACTGTTGTAAACGAAGGAGCAGACTCACCCAGAGTAGAATCCAGTTCAGCTTTTATTTTGGTTGGGCTGAGGCCTTTCAAATACAAGTATTGTATCACATAACGATGACCAATTTTCTCCATCTTCACAAATTCACTGAAAACGTTCACTATTGATGGCTGCCAAACAAATACTAAACAACGTGGCGTCTTCAAACTTGAAACATATGCTTTATAGATTGTGTACTTTCTAATACAGTGATATTTTTCAAACAACTACTGCTACCTCTAGGTCAGGTCGGGTACTTCAGGGACCACCCTCGTAGAAAAAAAATCAAATAACAAGAATACGATCCCTTTAAATTCATTTAACTTACATCTAAGAAATTTTCCTGTAAGATCAATATTTATTACATTGTTTTTTATGGTAATTTTAAGTGACTCATTCTGTACATATAAGGTGACCAATAATTATCTTGGAATTCGTAATATAGGTAGAACAGATTAAACTGAACAGGAAAATGATGTACCACATTATAAAAATCATAATAATTAATGAAGAATTAAATGATCTATATGAGCTAATGATCGCACAGGAAACAGTAAGCCAGACTTTTTTAAAGAAAAATGGCTTGCTTCTGAAGATGTCCTAGCAACAATAGATATTAATTTATAGCGAGAGGCATGTTTCTTTTCAGTCTTCTTTTACGTGCCGCTCGCTGCTTGCTACGTTATTCCGCCCCTAGAAATTAGTTGGTGCTCATGGTTGCTAGGATATCTCAAGAAATAAGCCATTTTTCTTTATAAGAATTCAATTTACAATTTCCCGTGCGATCATTAGTTCATATAGATTAATTTCTTATTAAATATTGCGATTTTTGCAAAAGGGTATATGAATTTTCTATTCAATTTCACTCGTTCTACCTGCTCACCACAGGAACTGAGAAAGATTTAGGATGCCCTGTGTGTGTATATATATATATATATATATATATATATATATATATATATATCTTCTAAGCCCTATGCCTCTTTTGCAGAAGCATGGTGACCTCTCTCATATGCCGATGGTACGTACGCTGATTTTACACATGTATATGGGATCTAAAAATTTAACGCCGGTTCCGAACAGCAAGATTTTTAGAGAGGTGTTCATAGCAAAGATACTTCTCGGAAGGTTGCCACTTCTTTCCGGAAGGAGACACGAGAGTAAATATTTTGGCTTCTACCGGGACCGCTAGCACAGTAGACCAGTGCGCTATCTGTTATGCCATGCTCGCTCTCGGCATGTATGTATATACGAGGGTGGATCAAATATAAACGAGCCTTTTTTAATTGCGCGCCCGTCGGCGGCGTGAGGGGTCTGCAACGTTTTGGACAGTGGAGGAGAGTCATGTGGAAAGCAGTAATAACGTTGGTGCACCACGTGCTTCTTACTCTCATCAGCAATCACGATGAGCGAGAAAGAGGTACACCCCGCAGTTGCACATTGTGTTATTATTAAGTTTCTTGTCAACGAAAATATAAATGCTACTGAAATTCGGCGCCGTTTACTTCCAGTTCGGGGAAAGAACTCTTTCATGAGCTCGGGTGAAGCAGTGGTGTAACGAATTTAAGAAAGGACGGTCCCTGCACCAGCATCACAGTGCAGAACACCAAGGCTGTTCGAGAACTCATCGAAGGCGATCGGCACTTAACTATTCTTGAAATCTCTCAGGAACTTCAGATCAGCTATGGAAGTGTGCAATCAATCAGTCGCAATGAGTTGGGATTTCGAAAAGTGTCAACTCGTTGGGTTCCCAAGTTGCTCAATGCAGAGCAGAAAGCCGTGCGATTTGAAATTTTTCGGTGGCACCTAACAAGGTACGAGGGGGAAGGTGACGCTTTTTTGGAAAAAATCGTCACGTGCGATGAGACTTGGGTCCATCATTACGTCTCTGAATCGAAAAGGGCCAGTATGGAGTGGCGGAAGACTGTCGAGGGTGCACCGGTGAAAGCGAAGGCGCGGTTGTCTGCAGGGAAGGTCTTGGCCACAGTATTCTGAGATTGTAAAGGCGTTCTGCCGATCGATTTTCTTCAAGAACGTCGAACCATTAATGCTGTTTATTATTGTGATATTTTTAGCCAAGTTCAAGCTGCTTATCGGTCGAAATATTTATTCATTTATATATTGCGATAAAAATTACGATTAATCTCAAAGAATGCAACATTAGAAATTGATATAACTTTTATAAGACATAATTACAAACCGGTCATTTGACCGGTCGTGGTAAGTTTAATGTTAATTTCCTCAGGCCTTTTTTGAGAAATACTCTAAAATAATTATTGAGAAAACTGTTTCATATAAAAGTTGTAGAATATCAAAAGGGCCGATGCTG